ATGCGTCAGGACCAGGAATGCAGACAATTGAGGGCACTTGTTCAAGATCTTGAGAGTATGTTCACACTACTTATTGATGTTTCTGTGTCTTGGCGACGGTGCCATTATACAGTAAATTTTCTTTTGGCTAATGATAGATCAGCTAATAAAGAGCTATATGATGTTCTCGGGAGAACTCACAACACCCATTAGAGCTATGTGATCCTGACATTTTTCTTTCATCCCCGTGTTTTTTTCTTTCATGAATCTGTAGGGGAGTGCCTTGGACTAATATGAAATATTTTTTAGGGCAGTTGAAATCCTGTATATGTCTGATCCACAAGTACATAACTAAATGGGATGACAATGTAAATTGTTCTACTTATCCAACCCCCCCCCCCCCCACCACCCACCAAAAAAAAAAGGTTTTCACACTTCTGCTATAGCTTTTAAATGAACCCTTGTCTCTTAGAATATCATGTCAAAAACAGTACATACATGGAGCTACTTCTGTTCTTTTGTTTCTGATTTCCTAAATTAGGTCCATATTTGGTCAAGACATTACATCATCTCATATATCATTTCAAAGCAATAAGCACCCGACCTCACACCTATTTATGTGAATAAGTTTATTGGCTTGTGCATGATGGGTGACACTGATGTTCTCTTGTTGTAGGGAAGGACCTGAAGAAGTTAATTAGCAATGTGCAGGTTCACTGTGAAATAAGAAAATTTTGTTATAGCCTACTTGATTAGAGATCATAGCTTACTGTATTCCAACTATTTTGTTCTTTGTATAAATCAGGTGCCAGTAGCAGCCGTTGTAGTAATGGCTTGCAATCGTGCTGATTACCTTGAAAGGACCATCAAATCTATCCTCAAGTATGTTTGTGTTTATAGCTACTGTTTGGATTGATGGAATTGAAAAGGAAAGGCAAGGAAAAGGAGGGATTATGTATTTTATTTTGGATTGATTTTTTGAGGAGGGAAAGGGATGGGGAAGATAAGTTTTAAATGTTAAGTTCATTTTTGTCCTAAAGTATGTGTGCTGCGAGGGAAAGGAACATTTTGATTAATAGTTTTAAAATATATACTTTCTAGACAGAAACTTTGCTATTTGATTCCTTGCCTTTCTATCTCACAGTTTTTTAAACATGTCCTCTATTTGCCTTTCACATCTATCGAATCAAAAAATAAAGTAATACTACCACCCTTTACTTTTTTTTCCACCATTATCTTTTCCTCTCATTTCCTTTCAATCCTAAGGGTGCCCAAGCATTATTCTTCTGCTAAGTAAAAGAGTCGTACGGGATTTTACCTGACCATTATTGGTATGTTCTTCATGTCAACCAGATATCAAAAGTCTGTCGCATCAAAATTTCCTCTCTTCATATCACAGGTACATTGATGAGGTGGAGATTGTCTCTTCTATTTGATATTTTGTGTTTGATGATACTTGTGGAGATAGGCTGCAATTTTCATTTTTTTTTCTTTTCTATGAGCAGGATGGTTCAGATCCAAATGTTAAAAATAGGGCTTTGAGTTATGATCAGCTGACATACATGCAGGTATTTCTTGTTATTTGTTGTTTGTGGCGGCTTTGGCTATAAGTTGCATATATACAGCTCTCAAGTGAATTGATACTAGGGGCCTGTGATTTTGTAGGCATTCCCCTTAAAGTTTAGCACCTTTTTCTGATATTAATGCATCTGAATAGTGATCCAATAGAAACTGAGACACAGTTTATTTGTCAAGATTATGAAGGAAAGATTGTCCTTTTAATTTGCATCATTGGCCTGATCCTATTATCTTAATAAACTCTGAGAATACTCTTTCAATGAGTCTGCTTTCTAACTGTTTTGATGATTCCTGTTTTGTAGCACTTGGATTATGAACCTGTCCACCCAGATAGGCCTGGGGAGTTAATTGCCTACTACAAGATTGCACGTATGGCTGCTTTTATGTCTTCTTTAAATGACATATAAGTGTATCTCTTACTTTTGATGATGTTATAGGTCATTACAAGTGGGCATTGGATCAATTGTTTTACAAGCACAATTTCAGCCGAGTCATCATACTTGAGGGTGCTGACATCTCCTTTTGAATACTTCTACTCTCTTGTCTTGCTTTCACTAAGAGTCAATTCTTGCGAACTGCAGATGATATGGAGATTGCCCCAGATTTTTTTGCCTATTTTGAGGCTGGAGCAATGCTTCTTGACAGTGACAAGTTAGTTTCTTTTGAAGATCAAATTCTTTTTGAGTGTAATAATTTCTGTAATTTACACGCACTTTAAACTCTTGACACTAGGTCAATTATGGCTATATCTTCGTGGAATGACAATGGGCAAAAGCAGTTTGTGCAAGATCCTTGTAAGATTCTTATCTTTTTTTTTTTTTTTTGTTGACTGTTCAACAGACATAGCTTGAATAAGAAGTTTAGCTGGATTAAACTGCATAATGCTGTTATTGGAAACCATAATTTCAAGGGCTGTTTGAGTGCTTTTATCGTTGAGTGGAGCTCCTGTTCTCTGATTAACTTGATTAATGCATTTCAGACATGAATTATCATCAACTTCTATTGTAAACAGAGCTTTCCGTTTCTGCTTGTAACCCATTATGTTATTTGCAGACGCGCTCTACCGCTCAGACTTTTTCCCGGGTCTTGGATGGATGCTTTCTATATCTACATGGGATGAATTATCTCCAAAGTGGCCAAAGGCATATCCTTCTACATATTTATGTTTGAACATGACACTTACAGAAAGGGACTTGCATTATTTCATTTTTAACTTCTCCTCCTTAGTTATATCACAATAAAAAATTAGGGTGCAATCTTTTGAGCATTTTCTTGACCAAACATTCACTTACTGGGATGATTGGTTGAGACAAAAGGAGAATCACAAAGGTCGACAATTTGTTCGACCAGAAGTGTGTAGAACATACAACTTCGGTGAGCATGTAAGTATATCTGAGAACTTTACAGATTTCTTCTGTTTAACACAGTTCAGGTTGTCTCTGGTGATAAAGAGAATGCATTGGATGGTGATGTCCTGTCAGCCATGGCTGAGTTTTTCTCTGGATATATTGTCATCTATGATCAAGTCTATCTTCTGTTTTAAGGACAGATGTGGTCATAACGAAGATACTTGGTTTTGATTCTGAATGCTGTAAATTGTCATCTTATTTGCTTCTGAAGAAGTTGCTGGAGCTACCTACCTCTATAGTGTCAGCTAATTTGATTCTTTTGTTGCCTTACTGGTAGAGTTGACACTACTAGATGTTTAGTAATCATGGCCTTCCTCTATCTCTCTCATTTGATGTTGCAACTTTCCTCTTTACGTTCATTTTTATAAAATTTCCCACTCTTCCATTCCTTTTGGCATATGATCTTTTTTCTGAAGTCTTGTTGATTTACTTACAGGGGTCTAGTTTGGGGCAATTCTTCAAGCAATATCTTAAACCTATTAAGCTGAATGATGTACAGGTATGTATCTGTTGTCATCGCTTTGTTCTTCGTTTTCACTTTCTTTAGCGGCTGCTACCAGACTCAGTTTCTCTGATAGTATATTTATTATTCTATTGTTGGCCATAGGTTGATTGGAAGTCTATGGACTTGAGCTATCTAACGGAGGTATTAATTACAGCTTAAACTGAAATCTGTTTCATAAGGCAAAAATACAGGACAAAATTACATAGAGAAATTTAGTGTCTTCCGTACTCAGTTATTGATTGTAAATCAAAATTTTCAGGACAAGTATGTCAAGCATTTTGCTGAACTGGTTAAAAATGCTAAACCTGTGTATGGAGCTGATGCTGTTCTAAAAGCATATAACATAGATGGTGATGTGCGCATTCAGTACAGAGACCAAATGGATTTTGAATTCATTGCCCGCCAATTTGGTATTTTTGAAGAATGGAAGGTAATAATATGGATTTGGTTTTCTTTTCTATTTCCATGGTGTTACCTAACTTTGAAGTTTGGATTTAAGTTTCCTTTTTAATTCCATGGTGTCCATATATCTATTTGATCGAACTTTGAAGTAGAGCTATATCAGAACTTGAATGTCTGGAGGGTATGTGGTCAAATTAGTTTAAAGACTCAGAAAATACACCTCGTACACATTTCTAAGATTGAAAACACATGCAGTTTTTTTCTTGAGTTCTCATTCATAAACTTGTATTAGTTTAGTCTCTCCTATTTCCGCTGTGTTAATGGTACACAATTTTGATTCCTGTGAGTTTACGACATCAATTCTTCTGCTTTTCCCAACAGAAGTGAAGTATCATTGAAAAACAGAAATGAATCAGCCTATCTGTTATGTTGAAACATATGTTCTTTAGTTGTCTACATATTCTTCTGTATTCAACCACCTACAGTTTTGCCCCCATTATTCTGTTCTCTTTCCTTTTGTAGGATGGGATACCACGGGCTTCGTATAAAGGAGTAGTAGTTTTCCGGTATCAAACCCCAAGACGTGTATTCCTTGTCGGTCCTGATTCCCTCCAGCTGCTTGGGATTGGACGCACCTAGAGGTAACAAGCATCTGCTCTTATCCCAATTTCTTTTCAACAAAAGCAAGCTTAAAGGGCTAATACCTTAAAGGTTACTGAAGGGATCTCTATTTTTGTATGTTACTTCACACGTTCAAACACTGTTTTTAAGTGTCTTCCTGTATGTTGCATCCATCACCAGATAACTGATGGAAGCCACAAAGAAACATAGAAGCTGAGTATGGACCTTCCGCTATTAGTTTATGCCTGATGGCCCACAATTGTTGAACAAAGAAAGAATAAAGATGGTTGATCTTCTTTTTTACTTTAAGATCACGTCTTGAAGTTAATTGACTGACAGATACCTCTATTTGTCTCTGAGCAGTTTTGTAGAAGAGGACACGATTTTCGGATAAAGTGGGTTTAGTGATGTGAAAAAGATTCCTATAAAAGCATGCAGAGGCATTATGGGCAGTTTATCGTCCAATTCACTGTAAGGAGTATGTGACTGGAGCTTACAAAGTTAAGTTTTTTTTTTTTCCCTAAAATTATCACACAGGAGAGTCAAAAGTACCAGTTTGCTACCAACAGATGCATTTTCGAGTGGAGAGGAAGATGAATTGCGACCATCCCCCTATATGAGCCCCTTCCTCCCTCCTTAGTAGTGTAGACGGGTGGTCGTTACTCTTTTGTAGATTATAGTACTGAGTAATTAAATGGACACATACTGTTAATAGTTAAAGACAGTTCAGTACCCATAACGAATCCTGAAACATTTTTTTGCCTAAGCTGCATAAAATTTCACTTGGATTGTGATTCTATATTTCATCAATTAGTAGTTCTTTTTTTTTTTCCCTCCTTTTTCTTTTGGTAAAAATTACGTTGTGTTCTAACTTTTAAGCAGTGCAAAATGTGGTCCTCTCAGCTGCAGATGGTAGCTGCTTGCAAAGAGGGCTCTATTTGGATACTGTGCACCTCAATTGTAACAGAGAGATTAGTTTAATAAGATGTCTGGTCCCAATTGTTGCGAGAGGAGAGGATACGCCAGAGTTCCTGCAAAGACATTTTTAAATTCCCAAATGGCAATTTTAGGCTCCAACATTTTCTATTTTTTACCCTTTCTTGGACTAGAAAAGTTGTAGCGTTTATCTGAATCTTTAGAAATTAAGAGCCTCAAACAGGACAGAGTTGCAACTGGGATGGTAGACACAGGACTTTTGCACTATAACAACGCAAATAAAGACACAATAAACCCTGGAAAGCCCTATGGAAAAAAGGAAAAAAAAGGATTCTGAACCAAGAGTAGACATAGTCAAAAAATGGTCTTTTGACTTGTTGCAGTGACTGTAGTCATGGCCAAGAGTAGACGTTGATCAAGAAGAAGAAAGGTGGCCTTGTTCCACCAGGGATGCGATGCAGTCATCGAACATTTCCCGGATGGACCTGAAGTTCTTGAATCCTAAGCCCTCCAGCTTCGATGTATTCAGGTCATAAGATGGTCTGTTATCAAGCTTGTGAAACCTGAAACGGGCGGAGGTATGGCATGGGAATCATTTCGATACAAAGGTAAGCTAGTAGTAACTAAGTAGAATACTAAATAGCAAGCAAACCTTTTGGGTATAGGCAGGGCAGGGTAGGAAGCGGATAGAATGGAGGCGAGCTCATCATTGTCAAGGACAGTGGAAGAACAGAGGTATCGTCCTTGAGCATTCCTGCGTTCATACACCAGGATGTGACACAGCGCAACATCGTCAATATGCACATATCCCATTCTTCCATGCCATTCGAATTTCTGCGTCTCCCCTGTATTATTATAGTGTATGCTACCCATTATGCTTTAGGGATATGCTACGATTAACAGCAAATAGCACACGAGAATGAGAGAGAGAGCAGCTAGTACTCTACCTTTGAGCAAGCCAAGGACGTCGGCCGCTGTGGAACATAACTCCGGAGGCAAGCTACGTCCAACCACGAATGAGGGGAGAACGGTGACCAGGTCAATCTTGTTCTCCTCGCAGAATTTCCAGGCAGCCTTCTCCGCCAGAGTTTTTGATAAAACATACCAGATCTTCTTGCATTTGCCAGAGCATGCAAAATTAAGCATTATATCACGGCATGTTTTTTTTTTATCCAAAAATCTGTGTTTCTTAGTGCTGTTGCAAATTCACAAACTGATTTATGCAGAGTTGCTGATGAGGGTACGTACCTTAAGTCTCTCGCAGAGTATCTCAGAGCTCCAAGATGATTCGTCCAGTGGTACGTTGGGATCAAAATCCTCTCTTGCCCTCACAGTTGAGGAAGACGAGGTCAGAACAACACGCTTCAGAAATGGATTTTTCTTGCACGAACGCAGCACATTTAGCGTACCCTCAACAGCAGGTTTCAAAATTTCAGCCTATGCAATTTTAGGATTAGATTAGGAGTCTTGAGAGGAGGTCAATAAGAAGGCAACGCCCACTTGAAAAGAAAAGAACTTGGAACGCAATAACGAAAAAAAAAAAAAAACCCTTCTTCCCCATTTCTTGTTTCTCTCAGGTAACAGTTACACTGAAATTGCTTTGCTAGTTCATTGCAGTCCACAATGTTAGTTTAGTGCCGCCAGCACTGCTGAGGATTTTGTTATGAGAATTATTGAGTTAATAAATGCTGTCAAAGTGGCATCCACAATCAAACTTTACATGCCTTGGGATCGGATGCTGGTCGCCCTAGAACAGGGGAAGCAGTGTGAAAGACACCTTCAGAGCCCATTATTGCATCATCGAAGCTGCCTTCCTCCATTAAGTCGCCCTTCACCAGCACCAGTCTCTCTTTTGCTCCCTCCAGCCTCCAGAGATGCGCTACCTTCTTGGCATTTTCTGTTCATGTCACAAACTCACAACAGATACCAAGGCATACATGACTCGCCGCCATTCAATTACATCTTGGCATGCTCAGTTCCCTGGAATGTATTCATACCATTCCCAGCCCAGGCACCAACACCAAAACAATGAAAAGAAAAAAAAAGGAATTAACAAAAAATAAAAAGAAAGAAAGAGCTACCTGGATCTCTGACCGTCCCGGTTACTTGATAGCCAGACAGCAGCAGTCGCTTGATCAGCCAAGAAGCCAGAAAGCCAGATGCACCGGTAACGCATACTTTGCCCCTGAGTTCCACGTTTTCCTCCATCGCTCGTTCTCTCTTGTTTTTTTGGAGTTTCTTTCCTCTTTCATTTTTTGGCTCACCCCTTTTATAATAGTTCAAAGCTATTACATTTAAGGTAACACCACCTTCAGCGTCTTTATTAATTCATATACTTAAATAGTGTATATATTCATCCAACATTTGTGAAGCATCGGAGGTTTTACAGATGAGGCAAGTCATCGCAGGTTTGTGAAGCATCCACTTGACAACTAACTGCATAAAACAGAAATAAATAAAATCTATCCAAGGCCTTCAGTCGAGAGTCGGCAACGAAAGTATGACAGCTTTAAATATCTATTGAACCTTTTAAGCCAACCATGCGTCTCTTGCCCTCGTACCTATTCACCCCAAGACATAACGCAGCCACCATGGCAACTCGTAACAAATGCTATTTTAATTAGCATTACAAGGGAAAAAAGTTCGAACTTTGTTCTCCAATACAATTTAAACACAATGCAACTGCAATGTAAACGTTGAACTGTGTTCTCCAATACAATTTGAAGGACTGCCCCAATTGTAAAAATGCAGACCATCAAATAACAATATGCATGGATACAACATACTGGCGAACCCAGCACAATTCAACTAACAGTGTAGTAAAAATTGCAAATCCAATCCTATCAGCCTCCACTGTACCCCACACACACACACACACACTTGTATACAACCAGCAATTGATTGTCCTAATATACTTTAGCTTGTCAAACCATGGTACCAACTGCCAAATTACTTACCTACAACCTATAGTCACCAAGCATGATTGGCAAGTCGTCATTTTTTGATGTGAAACAGATTAGTAAGTTGAATAACTGCTCAATGATGCAACCCTATACCCCCCGCAGCAACAAGTCGCACTAAAAAATTAAGGGAGGCAACGGCAATGAGCAAAACTTTTCTTTTGGCGAAAGAGTACTTTCTTTACACAGGTACTAGACACTGACGTTTCACAGAAATGTGGTCATGTTCTTTGGGTGTATCCACAGTTCCATTCTCATCATTGACAGCAACAGGCTCCCCATCATTGAGATCAAAAGTCCAACCAGGAAAATCGGATTCTGAGAACAAAGAGGTTGGAGTAGATTTATAGAATGCCAGAGGCACCTGTTTGACCCTGCGTCTAATCTGCAAGCAAGGATAGTGATTCGGGACACTTTATTATATAGACACCAAAGCTTGCTCTAACAGCAATGATCTGATTGCTATCGCATAGAAGACAATCACCGCCAGATTTAGCAATTCTGAGTAGTGCTTGTGCAAGGACTTGATAAGCACATAGAAACAGATGCTACAAATGTTTGTTAAAATATTAAGAAAGCAACAAAAACGAGGAGAACAGAAGATGCCTTATTTCTGAGGCCACCTAAAGGATCCATGGCATGATTTTCAAGTATAAAGATTGACCATATTACCTCCTCGCCAAAAATAGTTGCATATGATCCAGAACTGAAATCTTGCACAGCAACTTCAGATGTTTTGGCTCTAATTGTTAAGTCACTCTCGAGGGACAACACAAATCTAGTACACAAGAACAGTGACCAGTTAAGAGAATATTAAATGGCATTGAGCTCCCAAACTTGTATCAGCACTCCCCATTAGTTTACTTTTACACCGACAGAAATACCCTCACCTATTATGATAAAGGTAACTCTTCTTTTTCACTAACTTAAAGTTACAGCTCTTTATGAAAATCTATAAAATGTGTATTAGGTAGAGAAAGGAAGTGAGTTAATCTTTTAATTATCATATTTTTAAAATTTTTCTTGATTCCTATCAATTATTAATTTCAAATACTTCTCTTAGGTGACAGAAGTATTTTAATCAGCATCTAAACTTAAAAACAAATCATTTTTGTAGCAACTCACCTGAAACATTACTTCCATTGTAGTGGTTCTCTTTGTTACATGTCCTCGTGGTTCAACTAACATTTTGTGTGAGACATTGTACTGAAATTTAATTTTGGACATCATTCAAAGTGCTATATGCAAGTCTTAAACTCGTTAAATCTAATTTACACAGTCAAAAACTAAATTTTAGCATTCTCTAGCAAAATGTTTTCTTGAATTTTGTAAACCAGTCATTTAAATTGCAAATAAGTGTTGCTGCCATAGATGCAGGTTGTATTATTTCTAGTAAACATGGGCAAAATGGTGAGACAAATGAGGTGTTCTTGTTAAATTTTGCCATTAGTGCAAGAAAAAAGATAGTGGGACTGCCATTAACGATTCCCTTATTAAAAATCAAAGACGAGGTCATTGCATTCTTGATTGGAAACATGTACCTTGACACTGGTGGGCAATAGTGATGCCGGAGTGTATCAATTTCCCATAAAGAGCTTCCTGGCCAATGATTGTTGTTAGCATAATTGAAGGGGGAAAAAAGGGTATTATCCACTATTTTGTTTGTAAATTCAGATGACTTTCTATAGAATGCACACAATGGATCAAGGGTAGAAAGTCAAGGAATGCTAAGCTTAGATAGGAAAATAGTGGTCTACATATAATCTGCAACAAAAACTCTTAAGCAACCAGTCCCCCAACCCACCCCCCAAAAAAAAAAAAAAAGAAAAACCAAAATTAGCTTGCTTTTCTATAGAATAGACCTAATAAATTCAAATCTTACTCATAGCATTAGTTTTCATGGGATCACTTTGCTCATAATCAAATTGATCAATGCCTTGCTTGCTCGCAGAATCCGTGTCATCTGTTCTGTCAACACCACTCTTGTCTGTTGCGGAAGTCTCTTTACCAGCCTCATTGACATACCCCTGCAGCATATAGGTGTCAGTTCATAAGGAAGTATTTATGCAGATACCATTGAATGAAAGAATTGCCACATTAGAAACCTTTCCGGCCACCAAGTTTTGCATGATTCATAAGAATAATCAGTGTGGCAATTGAATGCAAGTGACTTGTGATGCGAAATTGTATACTTACCTGGTGCACCAAGAAGTTGATTGAAGGATGTCTCCTAAGAAGATTGTGGACTAAAGCAATAATGATTAATGCTCCTGAAGGTGGGACAGAAAGTGCAAGTCTACTCAGTTTCTTACAGAAAGCAGCAGCCAAATATGCTGGAAGAAGCGGTGATTTCAAGCAAGAATCAATAAGCTGCAAACAGAATTCAAAATCAGTAAGAGGGTTACATAATAAAAGAAACAAATCTAAACAGTGATCCAAGCAAAACACTATTCTAGTCATTAAAATCTAGCGTCACGATGACATGTCTCTATTACTCTTTCCCATTGAGATCAACCATGACACACACCTCCAATGAGTGACTCATACCACATAGAGTTGAATGGAGGCACATGACTAACATTACTCTCTCAACATTTGTCATCTTCCTTTGCCACAAAACTCGTTCTTCTCAAACCCACATCTAACCTTCTCCTCTCCCTCTTATAACCAAGCACCTTTCCTTTCCCTGCATCCTTCTGTCACTAACTCTAGTTTCATTAATGTACCATCATTCCAAGATTCCTCCCTTAACATACATATCCCACTATAACACTGCTCATGACTCCATCTCTCCAGTTCGCCTCTTTTTAATATTGATTGTAATATATAAATCACCATACTAACAAAAGAGAAGAATACAGAGCAACAAATAGGACTGTGATCATCTAAATTAGTGAAATAGTTAAGTCTGAGGAACTGCATGCTGCATGTTTACTAATCATAATTAAATTCTGAACAAGTTTATAACATGGCTACGTTAAAATGTAGAAAAACTCCCAAAATCCAAGAAGAGAAAGTTGTTGGATTCCCTTCTCATCAGTTATTTGATGATGCTAAAACTTCCAAATAAATCTAAAAATAAAACACAGACTGCCTAGCTCCTTCCCTCTGAGTAATTCTCAAAAGCAGATTCTGCAGGTCACCTCTGCAAAGCATTAGTAACATCTAAGACACAGACAGGTGGTTGCAAAAATTTACACATTAAAACAGGGAAAGCTGAACAAAATCATCACAATAGACACTAAGCATGGTGAAGTCAAGAGGACCAAGGAAAATAAGTGTTTGTAACAAATTTGCACAACCATCTCCAGGAACAACACCTATGTCCACCAAGCAAGGCCGAAAAAGTGAGAAAATTATCAGTTGGATGCACAATATGCAAAATGTAGCACTCAGCCCTTACATAATTATAGTACCAGCGCACATCCATTTCACCATCATATGAAACATACTTGTAAAAAACACAAGCAGTTATTGACTAATCTTTCTAAGCCTAATTCATTTAACCTCACTTGTCAAAGAAAACTGAAACCTGAAACATACAAGAGTACCTGAAAAAATTTAACCTAATTCATTTAATCTTTCAGCCCTTACATAATTATATTACCAGCGCACATCCATTTCACCATCATATGAAACATACTCGTAAAAACACAAGCAGTTATTTACTAATCCTTCTAAGCCTAATTCATATAAACTCACTTGTCAAACAAAACTGAAACCTGAAACATACAAGAGTACCTCAAAAAATTTTGCTCGATATTTAGCCATAAAGATAGAAGGTTCCAACAGTGCATAAAGCTTCCCATAGAAATTTGGATACTCAAGGCCATGTTGTGTCATAAGGATATAGAGACTGCTGAGAGCCATTACACTCACAACACCTCCTATATCATATGATCTTGTTAAGAAATCACTGCAATTTATGAGGAAAACTTATCATGGACATATTGACGGTAAAAGAGTAACAGAACATAAATGTAAATAAAAAGCTCTTAACAAATTACCACAGCATGATTGGGTTAGACAGGTGAGGAATAACAGCTTGATGAAGAGTAGCAAGAACCTAAGCCACAAAGCAAGAGCAAGAGAGCATGAATTTTAATGCAAATCAAATCATTCAAACAAACAATATAATGATACAAGAAAAGCAACCAAAAAGATATCAAACCAATGACATGTGTGAGAGCCTTCAAAGCCAGTTTCAGATAACAGTAGCAGCCCCTTATAATCAGGAAAGGTGAATAGTATGAACACCGGGGATAACTAGAATTATCATTCAACATGGCAACAATATAACAAATGAGGAACTTCCATCAATTATTACTCTTTTTGTCCATAGCCCCTTATAATCAGGAAAGGTGAATAGTATGAACACCGGGGATAACTAGAATTATCATTCAAGATGGCAACAATATAACAAATGAGGAACTTCCATCAATTATTACTCTTTTTGTCCATACAGCATTTGCTTCATGAGATCAATATGTATCAGATTATATACATCTGGTGACAGTAAACTCCATACTTCTACACAACAGAGAAACTGAAACAGAACATATAGGAGCTCAACATCCAGAAGAAACACTCTTAAGATGCAAAATACACATCAAATTGCTAATGATCTGCTTACTTCCTTGTATACATCAAGTGGAAGCGGCAATCTAAGGAATGATATCCATGCTTTACTAAACTTTAATTTCATCTTTTTAGTAACACTGGCTGCAGAAAAGTCCTGATAGAGCCAAAAGAGTGGAAACTCAGGTCAAAGACAATATAAAGTGACACAGGTTTGATGTGAAAGGAGATCATCTAAGTATTAAAAATGGAAGCTACATGAGTGAGAAAAATTCTAAAGGTTCATCGCAGTACAAACCTTGCGATCATGTAATCTTAATTTCTGCTGTTTATCCTCTGCATCTGAAAGGTGATCATGGTTTTTCTTGTCGAATTTTCTAGTAAAAATATCTATCAATTTGGATACAGGTCAATACCAATATAACATCAATTGAATTACTTCATTCAAAGAATACAGATTTAATGCAAAAAACTGTAAAGCTTAGGTGAGGACAACATATCCAGTTTTTCAGAAAATCGATACACCTTGATTTGATCAAATCAAATGCAACTCAAATTTAAAATAAAGTATTAGGATCTGCAAGGGATGTGACTATGAAGCATCTTGAATTCATTACAAAATAGAAAAGATCTTCAATGTTGTAGATTAGTGTTAGAAATACATCATACATGACAAATATTTTTAACATCAGACACAAAAAACTGTTAACCAAAATAATGTGAGTAGGGAAAGAAATTTTTGAACTAATAGTCAAGGTCAAAAATTAAAGAATGAACTTACCAACACAACTCCACATTTCATAATTAGACTCCACAACTGAAACTTCTAATGGTGGGATGCGCGATAGCAAATGATATATGATCCGAATACAGACCTCCATGCTACAACCAAATATACATGGTCAAAGATTTAGTAATAGTGCAAATCCTATAATCATGTGATTTCCAATTATGTGAGTTCAGAACATAAGTAAGCCCAAGTCGAAACTAATTAAAAAAAGCACGCTTACATGGTTCACAGAGATTACACATTTGTTAAGTTGTGCCAGTATTGGCTTTGACGCAAATGCAAACTTGCAACATCAACGACAAACAAATAAAAAGGAACACAGACAAGCTTTTTTTTTTGGGGGGGGGGGGGGACCCAACGTAAATTGTTGTAATCCAAAACCCTCTAAAAGTAAACCAGAAACATAAAAAACCAACACAGAGACCCACAGATTCACATACATACAAAACACACAGAAAGGGCAGCAAAGCCTAGACTCTAAAACATCAAAGAGATGTCATTGCAACAACTGTTCATAGTGAAGCAAGCAAGTTTGGACCCTGCATTCTTGATCCTTATCTCTTGTATGAAGCCAAGGAATCTGGCTTGCACCATATTCCAACTAAAGAGCAAGGTCAACAGTACAAGAAAATGAAAGTGACCTTGTATGAGTAGCATTAGCATATAGAAATGAAAATAGCTCCCATTTAGCTTATACAATGCCATAGCTCAATTTATTGTGCAGGATGATCTTAGCAATACAGCAAGAATCAAATTGATTTGCCTTGATTAAGACGGCTAGGAACATGAATAATCTACAGATACCTTGCCCTTGACCGATTTCCAGCAGCAGACTCTGAAGTTGCACCTTTATCATCTGAAGGACAAACAGGTCAAGGAAGTTTATTAAAGAAAAAAAAAGTTGTACCAGTTTTGCATTCCTTTTGGAAGTGAGACAGAGTAAATGTAGCACTGAATGCTATGCTAGTGAAAAAAAGGGCCATTGAAGAGAATAACTGTCAAAAATTAATAAGTACCAGCTGAATCTTCAGGCTCCAGAGTTCGTGCTATCTTTTCCAAGCTTATGTACGTGAAATAACTGTCAGAAGAGAATAACAAGTCAGAAACATGGCTTGGAATGCAAGACAATGTTCTGAAGTAAGAATGCGTGAACGTTATTAAGTAAGCATTGGTATGTTTGGCATCATGCTAGATGACAGATATCCCCAAAAAAAAAATGCATAGAAATGCGTAGGAATCAAATACATTGTTTTAGTTGCTGAAAGGTTGGGCTAAAAGAGTGAATAGTGTTTCACCATTAACAACAGAGTTTGAATGAATGCCTTTACAGCAATACATAGACAGAGTAACCATAGGGGAGATGTCAAGTCATCAAGAAGAATAGACATCATCATACCGGACATCAATATACTTGAAGTACTTGGACGCCAGCAACTCTAACAGTATATCACCAACTCCCAAAGTAGAGTGAACCTACAAGTGCCACAAAAAAATTTTTTTAAAACAAAGGGAAATAGATTAATGGTACTGATTAATCAAAGCAAAAACACAAAAGGTAACGTCACAAGAAATGATCAGCATTCCAAGATGAAAAGGCCAATAGAGATCAAGAAATATATGGGAAAAAAGAAAGTAGCAGGGGGAGAGGGAGCGAAACTCAAATGCGAATGAAGTGTAGAAGTAGAGAATGGATAGCAATATATGATTAGGGATTACTTACAATGGCATGAAGGAACCGGTGGAAGATAGAAGAGTGGAAGTTGCCGGCATTGGCTACCTTGACAAACTCCATGATTGTCTCCAACACAACTTCCTAATATCAGAACCAAAACAAAATTCAGAATTTTTTTTTTAAAAAAAAAGGAGGAAAGCAAAATTAATAAATAACAAAATTAGAGTAGGAGCAGCAGTAGTAGTGAAAATGGTGTAGTAAATTATTACCCGGAGGGTTGGGTCGGAAAGGGCAGAGGTAGAGATGGAGAATAAAGATTGAAGGAAGTCGTCGAACTTGGAGCGGAGCCAAGTGGAGTAAATGAGATGGGCGGCGGTGGTGGTGGAGGCGTCGGAGGAAGAGATGGAGGAGCGGGAGCGGGAGGCAGAGAGATCCAGTAGAAGGGGAGTGAAGAAGGATTGGAGAGAAAGGAGGGACTCGAGAGCGTAGGCAGGGTGGAAGTCCTCTCGGGGGTGTTTGATAAAATTGAGGAGGCGAGGGAGGTTGTTGATGTGGGACCTGGACGACAGCAGCTGCTCCCCTAGGGTTTTGAGCTCCCCCAGGCTCAGCTGCTGCTCTTTCTTCCTCTTCCTCTTCTTCATCATCATCACCTGCTGCTGCGAAGATTTCATCATCGTCATGGCATTGGAAGAAGCCATCCACAAAAAATGATTGGTTCGGTGTTGGATATATATATATATATATATTCTCTCTGTGTGTTTGTGTGTAAATTGTTCCAATGGCTATCTAAAGAGTTTTATATGTCCGCCTCCAAAGCTAAACCCCCTTCAAAACCCTCCCTCTTCGTCTACCATGTTACAGGGCCAGAAGCCTGCAGGGAACGAGTATTTATGAGTATATATATATTTGGATTAATTTCACTTTGCACCCCCAAACTTATATCATTTTCTCACTTGCACCCTAAACTTCAGTTTTAAACGCTCTACGCTCTAAATTCTTAATTTTAGACATTTTACGCTCTAAATTTTCAAGTTTGCCCTATTTACATCCAATCAATAACAAATATTAGTAAGAAAGACTGTAAAAATTAGGTGTCTTAAAAATTAGTGGCAAATAAGATTCCTGGGTGACTTAATGAGATACAAATGCGATCCCTAGGTTTGTTTTATCCCTAGGTTTTTTTGCCTAGGTGTCCTAATGAAATACAAAAAATAGGTTTCTTTCCCTAGGTATTTTAATGAGACACTAGGATCCCTAGGTTTCTTTTTCTTGTAATTAATTTATATGGTCTCAATCACTATTAATGATAATACATGTCTATATATATATATATATATTGCGACTTGGATCTAATGGTTGGTCTAAGTAACTTTTGAGTCGAAATTTACTAGTTCAAAATGGTTAACTCAACTTACTCAGTAGCCAAAGGACCCAATCTTATAAACCATTCTTTTCCTTTTTTCGCTTCTGACGTGGAATACCTCAGTATCTTTTTAATTTCACAATTTGAATTTTAAATTTAAATTCATGCTGTGTAACATAATTTAAACTTGTTAGTGTAAAAAAAAATTATACAGTGATAATGTGTAAAAAAAAATGTCCTAATTAAAATACATATTAATTTATTGATTTTATGTGTTTTTATTGTTTATGACTTTGATGTTTAATTGTGCATTAAGGAATACCTATAGATACTCATCGAATATTGAAACTTATGAAAGTCCATATTTGAATTTCACTTTCCAAACCGATGAGGGTTTGAGTTTGGATCTGGATACTCATAAATCCAACAACTATAGATTTGAATTTGGATACTCATAACTTCAGTGACTCTAGATTTGTATCATGTGAAGCTAACACAAAGCTAAATCTAAACTTTGCCTTCCAAAAGTCTTATTTTCTTCTTTGTTTTTCTTCAGGAAATGGAACTTGAAGCATGCAAGTCTAACATCTCATTTTCTATTCAGACGCCTAGAGGGCAATATAATTGTTCTGCATGCTTTTTCTACATTTGGTTATTTTTCTTGTTCACTAGTAATTGAGAGTATTGATTTTTTATATATTAACCACTTTGAATATATATCGCATACACACAATCTGAATTTTAATTTTAAATTCGTGCTATGTGACATAATTTAAACTTATTAGTGTAAAAAAATATATACATATATATATTTATACATAGTGACAGGGTATAAAAAAACTGTCCTAATTAAAATATATATTAATTTATGAATTAATCTTTCCTACACTGATAGTATATAAAGTGTCAATATTGAATGAATGACAACTACACAAAATTTAAATTTAAAATTCAATTTTACATATTTGTCATAAATTTAACAGTAAATTTAACGATAACAGTGAATACACTGACTGTCGGTGTATATTAGTTTATTCCAACTTTTATGGTCCTCAACCTCTCAAATTCCACCCTAAATTCTTCCCTACTGCACTCTAAATTTCACAAACTACACAAAACATAACTAGTCACCCAGAAAAAAGAAAAAAAAACCAAATTAAATTTTTGCGTTTAAAATGACCAGACCAGCGCGGAGAAGCAGAGCCGTCCCATTCTTCGCTTCCAAATTGAAAGTACTCTGAAAGTGAAGAACCAACAATCCTGAAGCTGCATAAATCATTGATCCCTAAGACTCGATTGGGCTTTTTAACGTTGATAATATGGGGCATTCATAATCTCGACGTATTCACCATTTAGCACACCTAGCTTTACAAGTATGGGATAACCTATCAGCTCTTGTAAAACTTTACCCCCAAAAAAAAAATTTTTTTTTTCTTTAAAGCCCTACTGTAACTTTGATAGTAGAGTCTCATCTTCTATTTTACAAAGACAGAACCAACCAAAACTGGAAAACTGAAATTCACTATTTGAATCAAAAGACTCGAAACGGTAGCATTTCCCACTCCCCTTAATCATCAGTTGTT